ATTTTCGCTTATATGTTATTTTTGCAGGCTACAATACTGTTTTGATTGACCTGCTACCCGCTTGTAATGTAATTATACTTCTTTCCACTAAAACTAAGGGGAAAACATGAATTTATTGTTATTTATAGCTATGATGTGTTGTGCTATGATTTTGATGGTCTGGCCCACTTGGCATCAAATTAGGTTGTATGCGGCCCCTGAACTAAAATGAGTTTGACACCCCTGGTCTATATGGATGACTTCACTGTCACCACATCCTCTGTACCAGGTAGTAGGTGGATCCTCTAAGGCTTGCAGATGCACATCAGCTGGACAAGGATGAGCTTCAAGTCTGCCAGATCCCTTGTACTGAAGAGGAGCAGGATCATAGACAAGTTCTGCTTTTACATGGATGCCATTGCAATTCCAACCATCACAGAGAAACCAGTCAGTAGGCTTGATGAGGTCTATGACTTGAGTGTCAAAGATGTAGCTACCATGCAAACCACCATCAAGGAGCTTGAGACTTGGCTCGATAGGGTCGACAAGTCAGGACAGCCCAAAAGATTCAAGGCCTGGATTTACAAACTTTACATCCTGCCACGGATCCTTTGCCCTTTGCTTGTATGCAATACACCCATCACATCGGTTGAGACAGTGGGGAAGAGAATAAGCAGTTACCATAGTAGGTGGCTTGGCTTGCCATGTAACCTAAGCAGTGCAGCTCTGTTTGGGAGGAGTAACATGCTACAGCTTCCATTCAACAACATCACTGAGGAGTTTAAAGTCTCCCACTCAAGAGAAGCACTGCAGTACAGGGACTCCGGAGATCCAAAAGTCTCTTCAGCAGGTATCGAGATTAGGCACTCAACTTCCAGCCTGCGCCAAAGAGAACTGGAGTCAGCTGTGTCGGGAAAGGGCAGTGGCCAGAGCCGTGGTGAATGGGAGAGCAGCTTCTGTGTGCCGCAATACAGCAAGGCACTGGGAAAGGAAGGCGCCATCTTGTCCTGAAGGAAGCACAAGCAGCAGTGGAGGAAGCACGCAACAGTCGGTTGACAGGTATGGGACAGCAGGGGGCATGAATGAGATGGGAGATTGCAGTGGTATGTAGGCTCGCTTGGTCTGCCATCTGGTGGGCTGAGCCCTAATGTATACAATTCCTGATCCAGGCAATTTATGATCTTACCCACCCTTGCAAACCTCCACCATTGGGGCAAGTCTGGGGCACCTTCTTTTCCCCTCTGCTCCAGAAGAGGGACACTAGAGCACATTCTCAGCAACAGCCAAAGAGCCCTAGGAGAGGATTGCTACCAGGTGCTGAAGGCAAAGGCGGTCATCGCAAAAAGGGGGCACCACAGCACCTCTAGAAACCAAATAGTCTTTGTGAAGGCAGGAGAGCTTCTCAAACCGCAACCCAGCAGGCATACGCCACGCCGCTCATGACTGGCAGCTAACTGTCAACCTAGGCAAGAAGCTCAAGTTTCCAACCCACATCACAGCAACATCTTTACGACCAGATGGTATTCCTAAGGCTTTGAAACAACCTGCCCTGATTGAACTGACCGTGCCCTGAGAAGATTGTATGGAGGAGGCATTTGAGAGAAAGCGGGCCAAGTACCAGGAACCTCTGGAGAAATGCTGGAAACAGGGGTGCCGAGTGTTTAGAAGATAATACTTAATGCATAAAATTTTGAGGTGTGCTAAGGATCATTATCTTGTTGACAAACAAATGATTTTCAGTAGATGTCTGGATTATTGATTGGTATTGTATTTATCAAGTACAGTATCAAGTAATAACTTGAATGTAGAGGGTGTTTACGTTTAGAGTAAATGTACAGACCTTGCTGTGTGGTGTGACCTGATGTATGACCTGGTGTGTGTGTGTGTGTGTGTGTGTGTGTGAGCAGGTCATCACCAGCATGCTGACGGAGCAGCGGGTGGTGCTGCTCTCCTCGGACTGGGCCCTCCTTACCCTGTTGGCACACTGCTTCTTGCTCTTCATCCGCCCGCTGTCCTGGCAGCACCCATTCGTGCCCATCCTCTCACAGCAGATGCTGGACTTCATCATGGCGCCGACTGCTTTCCTCATGGGCTGTCACTTGCGGCACTTCGAGGAGGTGGCGGCGGTAAGCCCCCCCCCCCGCCATGTACTCGCTGGCAGTCGGCAGACTTTTGATAAACCGGTCACTCTACCCTGAAAATAAAACAAAAACTGCATTTGCTGATAACAAATGGAGGGAGATTCCACCGTTTCTGCTGGCGAGATAAGCAGTAGAAGCAGGCTGGCTCCCATTGCCTGTTTTTCTCCACCAGGAAACCGATGATCTGATCTTAATAAACATCGACGAGGGGACAGTGGTGTCTTTCTCTTCGGACAGCACTGGCATCCCCGAAGTCCCCCTCGTCGCTGAGGACTGCTTTATAAAACGGTGAGGAAAGGGTCACGTTTGTCTGGTTCCGAGGGATCAAGGACCCTCTTCTGGTTTTTTCCTTATTTGATTATTCATTTCGTCC